CAACTTTAGCTTTTTGAAATATTTAGCCTTTTCTGCCATTTTTGTCCTCCTAGAAAGTGAACTGAGCTCATTTTACATCCTTCAAATCTTTAGATCTGTTTACAACCTTTTACTGCTCCTTTCACATTTTGTTCTGGTTCAGCTTCTTTGTAAATGGTAAATGGACTGTACTTATATATCACCTTTCTATCTTATCAAGACACCCCAAGTGCTTTACACTACAATCTGTGCCCTCATGTACCCATTCATACAGCACTCTACTAGATCTATACAAAGACTAATCAGTGCTTTATCACATTCATACACTGATGGGACACACAGTGGAGGCAATGAGGGGTTTAGTGTCTTGCCCAGGGACACTTTGGCTTGTGATTGCTGATGGAATAGAACCCCCATCTTTTGTATTGGAGGACAACTGCTCTAACCACTCAGCTTGTACAAATTAAAACTTATTTTCAGCTACTTTCAGATAATTTCAGCATTTTTTTTTAGCTGGTTTGTGCTACTTTCAGCTTCTTTCTGGCAACTACAACACTTTTGTGCTTCTTCTAATTTCTTTCCACTAATTTCAGTTAATTTCAGCTTGTCATGCTCCTTTCAACTGATTTCTGCTAGTTTCAGCATTTTCTTCTATTTAGCTGTTTTTAGACTAATTTAAGCTTTTTCAAATAATTCCACATTTTTTTTAGCTCATTTCATTTTTTCAGCCTAATTCAGCAAAATGTGCTCTCTTCTTGTAATTTCTGCTTCCGTCTTCTTTTTTAGCTACTTTTCAGATGGTTTTTATTGTTTGCAAATTTCAGCTTTTTTCAGATAATTTCCACTTTTTGTGCTCATTTCTGCTTCTTTCAGCAAATGTGTTCTTTCTTCTTTTGCTCATTTAAGCTTGTTCTAAATTTTCAGCTAAATTTTATTTATAATTGTTTAGCTCATTTCAGCTGTTTTCAGATGAATTCAAGTTTTTCATAGTCATTTCTGCTACTTTCAGCCTAATTAACTTATTTCTGCTAATTCCAGCTTGTTTTGCTCTTTTCAGTTTTTTCTGCTAGTTTCAGCTTTTTTTTTAACCATTTCAGCTACTTTTCAGCTGCTTTTGTGCTAAATTTAGTTTTTGCAGTCAATTCCACATTTTTTAGCTTATTTCAGCTCTTTCCACTTCCTTCAGGCAGTTTAAGCTTCTTTCTGCCTTTTTAGCTTTTTTTTTTTTTTTTTTTGCTAATTTCAGTTTTTTTAGTTAATTTCCTCATTTTTGTGGTCATTTCTGCTTACTTATACATTCTTCAATTTCATCTACATTTCAGCACATTTTTAGCTAATTTCAGCCGTTTTTCAGCAAGTTCTTCATCAATAAGCATTCACACTGCATTTTCTCAGGTAATGCAATTTCTCTAGTTTTACTTTGCCTCAATCTCACGAGTCTCACACTTTGTATTTGTACTACAACTTTCAGACAGGAAAACAAGTCAAGTTGGGCTAAAACATATTCACTATTTTAAATTGCAGAATGCCACAAACACGTCTCAACTGTTCTCATTAGAACTCAGCATTGAAAGATTTCAGTGCAATATACTCTTGCATTAATCTGTTCCAAAACATTTACACCATACTCTAATTTATTAGTAGCACAAAGGTCAATTGTTATTTATACCATTATATTAAATTACTATATTTCCTGAGTGGAACTTTACTGTATGTCTCTTATAAAACACCACTTAAAAATTTCATAACACAAATCTGTGTAAAGTGTTTGAATTCAAAGAAATCTGTGCAGTAAAAAAAAACAACAAAAAAAAACACACAAATGAATCCTTGGTAAAAGAAATTAAAAACTCTTTGTATGCTCCTCTGCAGCAGGGCTGTTTCAAAGATTTTTTTTTTTTTTAATTCCCACCCATCAAGACTTAAAACTGGATATTTTTATGTGTTTAAATGAAACACATTTTAATAAAAAAAAATCTGGTTTTGTGAGATTGATGTCACATTTTATGAAGATCAAATTGACAGAATGTTGTATAATACTTATACATTTTGATAATAATACTGAAAATTTGACAATAACATTGTACTCAGCCACATCTGTGACACGTAATATGTTTATTGCTGCTGAACTGTGTGGCTGTCATATATGTCACTACTTTAACATCATAATTCAAATAATCCCAATATTGCTCACTAATTGTGCAATAACCTGTCACACAACCTGTAGTTATGTGCATTATATATCATGCACATTTTAACTTATATAACTCCCTGTGAAATGCTTATTAATCCAAATTCATCCTACTTACATCCTACTTATATTTTACGATGTTTACTATTTTTCTTTTGGATCCTGTGAATAAATTTGCTTTTTCACTTTTCGGTATTTTATTTTGTACCCTTATTGCATGCTTTAATATTGCTTGTTTGTTCTTAGTTTTAACAAGTCAAACTGGTTCTTCTCATCCTGAACATTTCATTGTACTGTTGACCTTGATAACCTGCATACGACAAATAAATATAACTTCAACTTGAACATTTGAATTAAAGTCAAAGAAACTGGTTAGCTGAATTCAAAATGCTTCTTTTGCCCTGAAATCACTTGCTATTTATTCCAAGTTAAGTTTGCGTCATTTGAAATAACTAAATGAAACAAGACATGCAACTAACACGTTTGGAAAATGTCCAGAGCGAAATCAAGTATGAATTCAAACTCGCACGTCTGCAGCTTGTGCTATCTTGTAATTATGCAAAATACAAAAAACAACATGAGGATTTATTTTCATAAAATATTTAAATATGAGAACACTAGTTCATGTATTACAAAATACTTAAAAACATTTTTTGTTTCCTTATTTCCTTAATCAGTAGCTGTTAGTTTCACAGTGTTTGACAGGACTGTCGGTGAGACCTCAGCTCAGTCTGTTACAGCATTCCAGGTTTCAAGAACAATTAAAAAACAGCAAAGATTTTAGGGGAAAAAAAGGAAAATTATTTTTATTAAAGCAAAAAAAAAGTTTTTTTTTATTTTTTTATAAATAGCTGCCTCAGTGGAACACTATGTAACAAAACAAAAATTTTGTCTCTAGTAAATCACGTCCTCAATTAAGTTATGTTAATTAGTCAATCTTTAATAATGGCACAAACTACATTCATGTAATTTGTGTCAAAATTAAAATTTTTACATGTCATTGTTTGAAAACTTTAAAAATGTATCACTGAAATGACGTGAGGATTGAAATCACGATGAATAAAAGGTTTCCAAGAAAGAATTTCCTTTTGTTTCACAAAACAAACTCACATTCAGAGGTCACGGTTTCAATATCTTCAGTTTCTGCAGCTACTTAGTCAAAAAGAAGGGCCAGGAGGACGAAAAGCTCACAAGCACCTAACTTTACCTTTTTTGAATGTCTGGAAAAAAAATAAATAATAAAATTATATATATATATATATATATATATATATATATATATATATATATATATATATATATATATATACACACACACACACAGTATATCATATCAACTTTAAAGATTTTTTTTTCAATTCACAGCAAAATATTTTAAACCAGACATAATTTCTAAAAGCTGAGACACCACAATGAATTGTGTTAGTTCAAAAAACTGCAAAAAGAGATGGAGTTTTTTTCATCCTGGTTTGGTTTGCAGTGCATCATGGTAGTCGCTGAGGCTTACAACATTTCTTTTTATTATGTTTTAGGAGTAATCTTGTCCCAGGTAGAGATGTTTGCTTGTGTGTGCAGCTGGCAGAAAAGTTTTATGTGAAATGGATCTCAAGAAACATACCCAGTCCACAAGATGAAACTATGCAAAATAACTTTGTTTTAAAATCTATATAATAGACATTCATTCATTTAGTTGTTTTACTTGACTAAAATCCACTCTGGAATTTGTTCCAACTTCTCGACCTGTTTGCCATGATTCTCTAAACTGATTATTCTTACTGTCTACTTTAGGCAAGATAGATTTAATCAGACATTTCCATACCTGAGGGCATGTGGACTTTCAGTTGGGTTACCACTCCAAACGAACAATAAAGCACTGAGTTTATTCTAGGTAAATATTACAAATTCCTCCAAAAATATGAACAGCACAAATAATTAGAGAATTAACAAGCTGTATTTGATCATCCATTTTTCCCTACGTTCATTTGCTCCCACATATCTGAGATGGTTCAAGGAGGAAGAAACTCATATCTTTCCCCTCAGCTGATTCTTCAGGTCCTCCACCTGAAGAAATGGTCCAAGACCAGAAGAAAAAGTTTCTTTAGTGGGTTCTTGTTTTTCTCCTGGGTCTCCTTGCACCTGGACAAAAGCCTCCAAAGGAAGCCGCCCAGGAGAGAGCTAAGAGCATAAGCCTCCTCAGATAACTTCTGTGCTTGGCATAGTGGATAAGATCCATTTATCAAAGTTTAAGGTTTAATTCCCAGGCTCTGTATTGTTCCAGTATGTCCTTGAGCAGGACACCCATTGCCCATTGATATGCTTAATATGTATTTGAGTGAGTATATAAAAAAAATGCTGCATGACTGGATGAATGAAACATTCTGTAAAGATCTTTGCAGACTCTGTTGAGCTTAAGAATTTGAATAGTTGATCATTTACCATTTATTTTCAGTAGCGGCTTTATTTCAAGCTTCCTCTGGGTGACCAATCTTCTCCTTCAGTATACGGCTGAACTTGGGCAGTCTACTTTTCAGCCATTTATATCTGAGAGATGACTCTGTCTGTTGATATTCACCTTCTTGTTGTTGCTTGACAACCTGTGTTCTTAGACAGAATAGTCAACAATATACCAGTACAGTTGTTTGTATGTGGCCCTGTGACGGCTTTGCAACCTGCCAGATTGTTAGCTGCCTCTTGCATAGTGACTGCTGGAGGTAGACAGCAGTTTGCTGTGACCCAGAAAGGAAAAAGTGCGTAAACGAAAATGAATGGATGGGTAGATTGATAGTTTTACGTCATTTTTAACTTGGGGAGCAAGAAGATTATTTGCAGTCATCTGTGTTATATTTCTTTTCATGAACTTAAATGATTTGTAAAGCACATAAAATGGACCAAAGAACATTTTTAGATTTTCATATTATTCAAACTAATTTTGCACAGTTCTCCACATATGATCCCATCATTCTAGGATGTGCGCAGTTTCTCATAGTGTTTTGGTGCCCAGATCAGTCTGAACACCTGTATGTCACTTCTGTATCCGATTTTGTTGTCCCAGCAGTACTCTGGAGAAAGAATCCTGCTTGGTTTGTGTAGCCAAAAGTATTTGTTTAGATGACTCTCATCATGCCACAGAGCCTCCACATTATTTAGTTTGTCCTCCATGATGTCTTTGTAGCAGGAGTCAGTCAAGGACTTTACGTTCTCCCAGGTGCCTCCAAAGACGGCAGCATGATAGTAAAAATCTCCTGTTTCCATGTACGCCTTGGACTTTGGGTTGCGATCGTAGGTAAACATCCTTTTTGGAAGGTGATAGTAATAAGCATGAAGCAGAGCGACAGAATCTCCAAGAGCCTCGGGACCAAATCTCCAAGTAAAAACCTGATCGACATCAAAACAGAAAACGTGCGTGTAATGGTGGCGAATATCTGACTCTATAGTATCCGATATTATCTTCATTCGCATCATAGAGATGTCCTGCCACCTGCTGTATTTTTCCACTTTGATTACTTTCAGGTGTCGTCGTGGGCCGAGCTCGAGGTTTGGCACGTTCTCAGGCCTGTCTGTAAACACGTAGTACGACACAGGTAGACCCAACATGAAGTAATGCTCTGATGACATCAGGAAGGTCTCAAGGTAGGCTTCCAAATACCTTTAATGTGGAGACGAGAGAGCAAGATTTTATTATCCAATTTTACTTAACCAAACTTAATTTATGACAGCTGGAAGACCAGGATGTGTTCAGGCATTTCTGAAGTAATCATTGTGAAAACCAACCTGCCTACTGCGAATACTGTCAAAGCGACAGAGGATCCTTCTTTTCTGTGGATTTGGTCGTAATGTTGAGGGTCAAACATTCCTTCCCAAATGATGGGAGCTCTCCAAGATGTGCATGTTTGCACTTTATGACGAGACCTTCAAGAGAAAATTACAATTTCATGATTAAACATGTTTTAAACCAAACCAAAGTCTTCCAAAATGTGTCTATCGTACTTCTCGTGTAAATTGTGCATGTGCGTGTCTTTTTCAATTTTGTGTGTTTTGCATTTTTTATTATTTCATTTTTTGTATTCTACCTTTTAGCAAATGCTACTGGATGCCTCTAATTTCATCCTCTTGTGAAACCATTGACTTTTTTCTTGTGTGCTAAATCTTCAACTCTTAACCTTTTTTACTTATTTATTTAGTACTAATTTGCTGCTGGGGACATATTGATACTTCACCAATTAACATCCAATCATCAGCTAAACTCTTTGCCATTGAGAATGTTAAAAGATGAAGTATATTTGAGATGAGGTAAGTGATTTTTTTTTTAATCAAATTTGTTCCGTAAACTAATTTTAAGATAAACTACTGTATGAATAGGGTATGTGGCATTATTCTTTTAAAAATTCTCCACGCAGGTTTAGTTTAATAAGACTTTGCCTTTGTCAGCCATAGATTTTATAAAGTGCACAGGTTCTAGTTTTGCAAAACATCTGGGAAAATGTGCAGATATTTCAAAAAAAAAATCTCAATTTGAAGGCAGTACATTTTGTTTCAACCTTCGATTATAGTTTTGAAATGTTACTACCATCACAGGAGTGTGTTTTTATTTTCCAAAAACACCAATACAACCCAAACCACCACAGAGTCTATTGGTGCTGACAGCAGTGTGAATGCTCCATTTTGTTTTTTGTTAAAAAAAAGAAAAAAGAATTTATTATAAAATATTTCAAATTACGGATTCAACTGACTACAGTTCACATTCCCAAGGTGTGACGATCCATCTCAAATGTCCCCAAGATAACCAAGTCACCCCAGGTCTTTGTTAAGATAGATTTTTTTATTTAAAGAATTGCAGAATTGAAAAAGAACAGATTTAGAAATAAAATGTATAGTTTTGTTATAAACACTGATTTCCTATTTACAGTATTAACATAACGTTGGCTTGAACTACAGTAATTTTTATCCAAAATGGAAAGGATGCCATAACTTTATTTCTGCTGAAATACACTACAAGATTATCCCTTTTCTTAGCTTTTACAGTTTGATTTTGAATCCCTTTCATATATTATTTTTGTAGGCGTTACAAAATGTGCATGAAACAGGGCCTTCCAATTTACAAAGAAAGTCTAGGTCAAGCTTTCACTGGAGAGTAGTGCATGTAGGATACAACTGTAGAAGACACAAGAAAGTGAGCCACAACCAAGTAACTACAAAGAGTAAGACGGGTTCTGAAGAGCCAGCTGAATGGTCAGAACAAAATCCAAGCCACCAACACGTATGTCCTCCCAGTCATCAGGATGAAGTGTCTAATATTAAGAAATCCTCTACCATTGGGTTTGGAATAGTGTTCAGTAATATTCTGTGCTGTACAAGTGCTGGATGTTCTACAGTCAATGTGGGAGACCCTATTAAGGGTGATAGAGAAAGGCAGGGCTAAGACACAGTGGGACTTCCAGATCCAGACTGACAAGCAATGATGACTAACCAACCGGACATTGAAGTGGTCAACAAGCTACAGAAGAAGGTAGTGGTGATACTGTAGATGTAGCAATCCCAAGTGAGTGTAACAGCAGGAAGAAGGAGCATGAGAAGCTCAAGAAATAACGAGGCTGAAAGAAGAAAAAGAGAAGTTGTGGAGAGTCAAAGTGATTGGAGCGTGAGACAATCTTGCTTGTTTGGAGTCACAACAAAGAGTTAGTTATTCCATGCTGAGAAATCTTACCTAAGATCCAGGCTGATATCTGCTCTATTATCAAGGATCAGCTTTGTTGAACTTTCCAAATTACACTTGTCCATCGGGAGGAATCCTATGAAGAGGCTGATAAAGTTGTATGGGGAAAATAATGAATGAATGTCATGTTTATGCATTTTGGTGTTTCAAATATATTTTGATTGTTAATAATTTATGTTATTTACATGACATTACTAATATAAACATAGGATACTGAATGATAGTAAAAATCTGATTATTAATGACCACATCAACACAGTGTCATTATCAAACTGTTGTAATGCATTTGATTAAATTACCACCTGAGCTCATGACCTATTGTCAAAATTTACATACAGATTCAAGTTAGCACTCACCGCACAAATGTTACTATGATGTAAACAATGCAGAGCACGGTTGGGAAGAAAAGCATGCATTTCAAAATGCTTTTTATCCTCTGAACGTACCTGCCGGAAGGTCAATAGATCTGTGTTTAAATTTAAAAAACACCAAGAGGTCATTAAAAACATGCCAAAACAAAAATGTGTGGACAGGAGTATACCCCATTATTGTTGGTCAGACATCCACTTTGTTGTCAGACACTGATGGCTGATGAAGATTAAAGAACCTCAAAGAAAAGAGGACAAAATATATGTATTAGTTAAAATGTACACATCTTGTTTGTAGCAATAAATGCATTTAATATACAATTATTTATATGTTATTGTCCATTTAATTAAGTTCCAGAGTTGTTGGAAAGCATCAGAAATACTGCTGCTCTGAAACCTGCACAACAACTGCTAAAAACCTTGGAACCACCTGCGTAGCAGCTGTCTCTTATCAATAAATTTCACAGCTAAAACATTGTCAGTGATGTGGCAACAAGAAGAAACATGGTACACAAAATGAATTTAAATAAACTGAAAAAATCTGAAGTATAAGGTTCAGTCTGCACCAAACGGCGCTTTAATGTGGAAAGGTCAAGAAGGACAAGCCTATTTAAATAAAATCTTAACAGGCAAGGATGAGTCATTGACTTTCTGAAAACCTTTTTTATTAAAAAAAATATATATCAGCAAACAGTATGATGTTTACAAAGTACACAGTTCTAGTAGTCCTTAAATAAATTTTAAAAATCAACGATTAACCGAGTAGGTCAAGGCCTCAGTTGTTCTCATTGTCTAATATGTAATCGAACATAGTAAAAAATACTTAAAGACCTTGCCATTTTGCCCAGGGGATTTAAAAAAAAAAAAAGCATAAATGAACAAATACCTGTTTAATCACATTGACCAAAAATGTTCATGAAGTTAACAAAAGGCAGGGAATTCAAGAACATAGGAACCAAAGTTTTAAAATGGGGGAAGAAAACATACACCCAAGAACAAATGGCAAAAAAAAAAACCACACACACAACAACAACAACCTCTAAATAAATAAACAAATAAATAAATTGCAAAATAAATTAAATTAAATTAGTTAAGTAAGTAAATGAAAGAACAAATAAATATCACTGCAGGGCAGTTTTATTTAATTTAAGAATTTGAACACTGATGAATATAAAATGCTGTTAAGTGTTAAACAATTGATCTTTTGCTCGGATCACGGGCCTTCGGTCAACAGATAATTTGTCAATGCCATCTGTTTTTTGATTTGTGATATATTTTTTTTAATTGCAAACACCAAAGGCTAAACTTTTATGTCATACAGTAAAACTAAATCAAATGTCACTCATAATTTTATGCTAAAGTAATTTGACACAGGGCTGAATACATTTGTCTTTGTATTCAAAAGTCAGATGTTGAAACCACCCGCTAGGGAGCATAAGCCACTGTATCAGTGTATCTCTTGTGCTGGTCCCAAGTCTGGGCAAATGGTGAGGGTTGTGTCAGTAAGGGCATCCAACATTAAACACTGTTGCCAAAACTAATATGCAAGTTCATCTAAGTGACACCATAATAGATCAGTCGCGGCCCGGGTTAACAACGACCGCCACCGGTGCTGTTGACAAACATGGTTGAAATTGTGCTACTGTTAATATACAAGGAGGGAAACATGTCCGGAGACAGAGGGAGAAGAGGAAAGTAAAGAATGCAGGACTGAGGGTGGCGACTCTAAATGTGGGGACAATGACAGACAAAAGGTAGAGAGCTGGCTGACATGATGCAGAGAAGGAAGGTAAATGCTTTATGTGCCCAAGAAATGAAGTAGAAGGGCAGCAAGGGTCGCAGCACTGGAGCAGGTTTTAAATTGTTTTACCATGGTGTAGGTAGAAAGTGAAGTAGGAGTGGTGCTGAAGGAGGGGTTGGAAAATAATTGTGTAGAGGTAAAAAGCATGTCAGATAGGGTGATGTGTCTGAAGGTAGAAGTAGAAGGTCTGATGTTAAATGTTGTCAGTGTTTATGCTCCACAGACAGGAAGTGGCTTAGAGGAGAAATAATTTTTGGAAGGATCTGAATGAAGTGATCGTGAATATTCCCAAGAAGGGGAGAGTGGTGATCAGAGCAGACCTGAATGGACATGTTGGTGAAGGAAACAGAGGGGATGAGGAAGTGATGGGTAGGTTTGGTGTCAAGGAAAGAAACCAGGAAGGACAGATGGTGGTGGATTTTGCCAAGAGAATGGAAATAGCTGTAATCAACACTTATTTGCAAAAGAGGGGGGAACGAGTGACCAATATGAGTGGAGGAAGGAGTACGCAGGTCGACTACATTCTATGTAGAAGAGGAAACCTGAGGGAGATTGGGGACTGTAAGGTTGTGGCAGGGGACAGTGTGGCCAGACAGCATCGAATGGTTGTGTGTAGAATGACTGTTGTTGTGAACAAGAGAAAAATAGTCAAATCAGAGAAGACCAAATGGTCAAAGCTGAGAAAAGAAAAATGTTGTGAGAAGTTCAGAGAACTGGAAGTGGCAGAAATTAAGATGTTCAGGTTCTCCTTAGGAGTGACAAGGATGGATAAGATTAGGAATGAGCTCATCAGAGGTACAGCACAGGTTGAACAACTGGGAGATAAAGTTAGAGAGACCAGACTGAGATGGTTTGGACATGGCCAGAGGAGGGACAGTGGGTATACTGGTAGAAGGATGTTAGAGAATGCAGGAAAAAGACAAAGAAGACATATATGGATGCAGTTAGAGAGGACATGGAGGTAGTTGGAGTGAGATGGAGAAGGATGACTCACATGGCGACCCCAGAAGTGGCAAAAGCCGAAAGAAGATTCAAAAGTCAGATGTTAGCAGGTGCTTAGAGAAAAGATAGATGTTTTCATGTGCACATTCTGCAAAATCTTAAAATGGTTGGTGGAGTTAATGTTTGAAACTGAGTGAAGTTCTCCTCATTCAAACACAGTGTGCTTTAAAGTGTGTGGAAACACCTTGAAAGCATCCTGTTTATTTATAAATAGTGTTTAACGTGAGCTAATGACTGTTGTTGAAAACATTTAAAACTGGGAATAAGAAAAAAATTATAATTTATTTAATCACGTCAAAATGTCTTACCCTTTCATGAAAGCAGTCAAAAACTTTATTCAAGTTTGTTCCAGAGCTTAACTTTATGCTGTAAAACATAAACCCCTGTATACATTCCTTGGCCTACTGGAACACCCGTCACACTTCTAGGAAATGTTTTGAGAAGGTAATCCATGCTTTCATCACTACCTGGCTGGATGACACAAAGGACTCTATAGGTCAGTGCTTCCTCTGTTGCTCATCGTCAGAGTCTAAAATGCTGCCACACCTCTTTCAACTGGTTCAAGAAAACACAAGTGCATTTCTCCCATTTTAGCCTCACTCCACTGACTGCCTGTACAATTAATTACTTAATTTGGGGGCAGATGTGGCTGAGTGGTTAGAGCAGTCGTCCTCTAATGGGAGAGTTAGGGGTCCAATTCCACCAGCAGTCACATGCTGAAGTGTCCCTGGGCAAGACAATGAACCCCTCATTGACTCCGATGTGCGTCTCATTGGTGCATGAATGTGATCTTAATAAAAACACTGATTAGTCTCTATAGAGTGATGTGTTCAGATTAGCTTTGTAGGGATGTACAGTGCTGAGTGAGTGAGTGAGTGAGTGAGTGAGTGAGTGAGTGAGTGAGTGAGTGAGTGAGTGAGTGAGTGAGTGAGTGAGTGAGTGAGTGAGTGAGCGAGCGTAAATAAGATAAGACAGAACTTCATTGAGCCCGCAGGAATTGAGGACACATATTGTGTTGTAAAGCGCTTTGAGTATATTGATTATAGGCACTAAATTTACCATTTACCATTTAAGAATAATTTAAAAAAAAATCTGTTTCTTTTAAAGCACTGAATATTTCAGCGCCCTGCCTCACTGAGATGCTACACCGTTTTACTCCAGTCCGTTCTCGCAAGTCAGCTGATGCTCCTGAGTGAGTTAAAAACTAATCAGAAGCAGTGAGGTCATGCTTGTTCTGTTGCCGTGTCTAAATCATGGGATGACGTACAGACCTCTTGCCTGTCTGCATTTAAAATCACTTCTTAATGAAAAACCCAGTTCTTCCCTATGCCCATTGACATCAACTGGGTGGCTGTGGCTGAGTGGTTAGAGCGGTCATCCTCTATTGCAAGATTTGGTGGTTTGATTCCACCAGCAGTCACATGCTGAAGTGTCCCTGGGCTGAACTGAACCCCTCATTGCCTCTGATGTGTGTCCCATCGCTGTATGAATGAGATAAAGGTCTCTCTTGTAAATGAGTCCCCGAGGCTCAGTGGGAGTAACTTGTATAAATAAAGGCTGAATAAATAAAGCACTGATTATTCTTTGAACAGATATATTGGTGGGGGAGTGGTGGCGCAGAGGTAAGAGAAGGTGGGCCTGTGATCTTAAGAGCGTCGGTTTAACTCCCCGTACAAAAACATCAAAAATGTGGGTGAGATTTGTGAAACACCCACACCTGCCTCCACCCTCATTTGCCCCACTCTGGGCCCATGAGCAAGGCCCTTAACCCCCACCATCTGCTTCTCCGGGGTCACGAGATAGCAGCTCTCTGCTCCACACAGAGGGCTGTGGTAGCTCGGTGGTCTGTCATAAATAATCGTCAAGTCTTTGTGCGACTTAGTTCACTGTGGTGACCCCTGAAGAAGAGAGCAGCCGAAGGAAGGAAAAACACACACACGCATACACACACACAAAAAAACAAATAGTAGAGGGCTGTATGAATGTTTTTCCTTTACATTTTATACTTTTGTTGGATGTAACCGGGACACTGTACACAATTGCGTTCCACCACATGTATGTGATGCGAATGACAAAAAACAACTTGACCTTGATTTTGAGTGGGTAAATGAGTGCACAGATTGTAGTGTAAAGCACTTTGAGTATCTTGATAAGATAGAAAGACGCTAAATAAGTACAGTCCATTTATCATGTGAAATGTTGAGTTTCAGTTTATTTTAACAGAGTTTGTGTTGTTTACTTTGCTTTTCAAACAGT